GAGTAAATTAGGTGTTTCATATTTTGATTTGCTATTATTTTTTTAGTTTGAATTTTTTTCTGATTGAAGGCAGACTCGCTAAATTGAATGTAAAATTCAAACAAATTTTAGCAAAATTGAAAAATGGGGAGTTGTTGATTTTTTACTTTAAATTATTTATAAGTCTGCAGCGATTTTTGTTTGAAATGGTCTATCATTCCCGATGCATGGGTTATGTTATTTATATTTAAATGTAAGGTGAGATACTGAAACATCTTGATGGGTCCTATTTCATAGTGAAAGGAAGGAAGGAACAATTTTTTTATATGTTTTCGTAATTATCATTTGGATGAAAGTTAAATGGAGCAGTGATCGCATTTATTGGCATTACAGTGTTTTGCTTTAATGTCTTTCATGTTCGCCATATTTATTTTTATCTGAGATTGAATGGTAACACATTTTAAATCAGTTAGGTGTGGACTTGAATACTTGAATTGGAATTGTTTGAATGAGCTTGAATTTGTGATTTTATGAGGTCACAGTATTCAAATACTTTATACTTTGTACAGTTTTACTTTGTGCTATTTTAAATTTTAGTTCATGTATTGAGAATTGGGAAATGTAGCTCATTATTATTGTATATAATATCATATTTACCTATGTTTGGTAAACTCGATTGATTGTTATCTTCTTTTGTTTGCATTACTTAATTTTATTTCCTGTACAGTTGAATTAACTGAAATAAAACAATCAAATACTGTTGAAAGTGCTGGAAGTGTGTTCTATGGAAGAAGTTTAAATTAAAGAAGTGTTGAAGAACTGATTCTGATGTAGACAGTTTTAGTAGGTGACATTTCATTCAGCTATTTGGGATGTTTCATTTGAGAGTGGTGCAAAATGAGCCTAATTTGGTGCGAAAGAGATAATAATTGCGCAGATAATCACTCATGGCAGTGTCACACATTCGTGATATGTTGAGTTCCATCCAGATATAGCTTGTTGTTCAAGTTTGTGTATTATTCCAAAAAACTTTGTTTTTTTTTCCAGGATTGACTGACTGTGATATTGGGTGATAAGTTCAGACTTTAAATTTCCAGGAATTCATCTTTCGAAGCTTCCAAAACAGATTCCCCATAATTTTCATGATGCCATATCAGTTAGCTTCCACTGTTGTGATAAATGATGATTTATTGAAATATCGACGGATGGCGAGATTCTCTTGGTGTGATCTGCAGGAATGGTTATACGGTTCAGAGAGTATCCAGTTCAAGGTAAATGGTGGGAGGTTTTCCGAGGTTTTCAAATTACTTGAATCCTGTTGTCCGGGTCATCGTTACATTCAATTGGATATTAGAGAAACATCTGATTTTCTATGAAGATTAAAAAATTATTTTATTCTAGTAGCCCTTATAATCTAACTTTCCTTATAAATTTGACTCTTTCACCAAATCAAAAGTTGCAATTCAAAATGTACGATGTTCAAATAAAATTATTCAATTCAAATGGACGTTTTTCCGCAACTTCAATATTCACGCTGATTCGAAATTTATGAAAAGTTTGAATTTAGGAACATTTTTCTGCATAATTTAGGATAAGATCTTTGAAAAACTCCGTACTGATAACGTTTTTGTTCGCGACTGGCGAACAGTGACGATGGATGAAAGCCGCCAAATATGCAATCGACGATGGAAACAACTTTTGAAATATAATTTCATCACATTTGACGGGGTCTGTAAGTATAATCTATTTTTCTCTCATTACCAATTGTGCTATGATTTCGGCATATTATGGTACTGTATGATATGCTTCATAGTGATCTTAACATTCTCGCATTACTGATTAAATGATATTTTAGCTTAAGACAAATCCTGAAAGATTTGTGGACTTCACGGAAGTGTTAGAAAGTTATGATCAAGGTTTAGCAGCAAAATTCTACATTAATGCTATCTTCTATGTCACCGTCTTATCAATGGGAACGAATCGTCATCAGCAAATACTCGAAAAATGCATGAAAAATGAGGTCTTACCAAACATCACTTAAGATTATCGGCTGCTTTTGTTTAACGGAACTGTCCCATAGCTCAGATGCGAATTCGGTCCGTACTGAATGCCACTATGACGAATCGTTGACATTTTGTTTGGAAAAAGACATCTATTCGTAGCATTCATTATTTCGATTTCAAATTTACATCAAAATTAATTTAAAAAGACCAACAGTTAACAACATTATTGGTACTCATGAAAGCAATCATTATTACATCGAATTGAAGATTGTCGGCTGTTTTTGTTTGACGGAACTGTCTCATGGCTCAGATGCGAATTCAATCCGTACTGAGTGCCACTATGACAAAGGTCAATTCGTAATGCACACACCCGATGATGAAGCAATCAAATGTTGGGCTGGCAATTTGAGTTTGTTTTATTCTATCTTCCCTAATTTTATTTCTTTTCCATCATTCATTTCTTACTGATACTATGAAGGACCGAAATGTTTAAGGGGGAATAAAACTATCGAACACAACAATAAAATGATCAATTTAAGAAATATATTTTAAAAAAAGAACCAAAAAACAAAATGAAATGCAACTTGATTTTGAATCGAAAACAATCAAACGTAAGTTTCTTCCTCTGAAACTTTCATAAGAACAGTAATAACAGATTACTAACAATCCATCTAACAAGTATGACTAATCATTCAGATATAATATGAAATCAACCATAACATTCAGTAATCCATTTTACGACATCAGTGGCAACCACTTCTCCATGATTTAACACGAAAGCATGCTCGCACTTCTTGTCGTCGATTATAACTAGATCTAAAAACCATACAAAAGTCTGGAAGTTATGTGGTTTGGATAATTTTAGCTCAAATGATTTTCCGAAAAAAAAAAACTCAAGATATTTATTGTGAAATTATCGCCTGACAAAACATTCGGTAGTCCTGCACATTAGTGTGACTACTTTTTAATGTAAATAATGAAACTGCAAAATAGT